AAGAGGCCCCCAAGAGGCCCCCCAAGAGGCCCCAGGAGGCCAAACTCATTGCTTTCTTAAAGGACAACCTACATGTTTAGCATATACGGCTGTTCGGCTTTCACGGCGTTGACGACGGCCCAAGAGGCCCCCAAATTCGCCCCAAGACGGCCCAAGAGGCTACCAAGATGCTTCTACCCCCAAAACGGCCCAAGAGGGCCCCAAGACCGCCCAAGAGGCGCCCAAGACGGCCCAAGAGAGCCCCAAGACGGCCCCAAGAGGGGGACCACGAACCGATTTGTTTAGCTTTTGGGCGCTTCTTGGACCGTCAGAGGCGCCCAAAAAGGCCCAAGATACCTCCAAGACACGGAGCGCTTCAAGAGAGCCGAGAGAGCGTGATCCACCGCCGCTTTACTGTGGAAAATTGCCAACTTTTTCCTCCGGAACCCGGGGGTCGCCCCCCCCCCCTCCGAAAATCCCCCCCCCCTCTGCTGGAACCCTCCCCCCCTCTCCCCCGGCAAAACCCCCCCCTCCCCTAACCCCTCCCCCCCCCCCCCCCTCCCGCTCGAAAACCGGGGGGGGACACTACGGTTCGAACCCCTCCCCCCCCCCCCCCGCTCCGGATCCGAAACCGGGGGGGGTCACTACCGGTTCGAACCCCCCCCCCCCCCCTCCCGCTCGAAAACCGGGGGGGGTCACTACCGGTTCGAACCCACTCACCGCCAGCAAACGACTCCCGGTCCCCACCACCGTCCGCATCACATCCCCCACTGGTGTTCCCAGCACCACTGTCCTCACCACCGCTGTCCCCACTGGTTCCACCACCGCCCCTACTGTCCCCACCAGTGGCCCCACCACTGTCGCACTGTCCCCGCTGTCCCCAGAACTGTTCCCACCACGGTTCCACTCTCCCCACTGTCTCCACGGCCCCAACCACTGCCCGACTATCCCCACTGTCCCCACTGTCCCACTGACTCCTCCGCTGTCCCACTGAGCTGTCCCACTGTTCCCACCACTGTCCCCACTGTCCCCACCACTGTCCCCACTGTACCTCTGTCCCATTGTCCCACCGCCGTCCTCGCCACCGCCTTCACCACTGTCCCCACCACCATTGTACCCTCCACTGTCCCACTGTTTCCACCTCATTCCCATTGTCCCCACACCACTGTCCCCACCACCACCGTCACCACCACTGTCCACTGTCCCCCCCTGTTCCCACCATTGTCCCCACCACTGTCCCCACCACTACCGTCCCCACCACTGTCCCACTGTCCCACTGTCCCCACCACTGTCCCGCTATCCCCTCACCACTGTCCCCACCAACACCGTCCCCACCACTGTCCGCACCCCCACTCGGTTTTCGAAGGGGGGGGGGGGTTCGAACCGGTAGTGACCCCCCCGGTTTTCGAGGGGGGGGGGGGAGGGGTTCGAACCGGTAGTGACCCCCCCCCCTTTTCATGATGAGCTGGGGGGGGGGGGAGGGGTTCGAACCGGTAGTGACCCCCCCCCGGTTTTCCGGAGGGGGGGGGGGGGAGGGGTTCGAACCGGTAGTGACCCCCCCTGTTTTCCGCCAGCAGCGGTAGAACACGCTCTTTCAGAGAGCCCAAGACCGCCCAAGACGGCCCACGAGGCTTCCAAGACGCCCCACGAGGCGCCCAAGGGGCGCTCCAAGAGGGCCCCAAGAGGCCAAACTCGTTGATTTTCCATCGGGGACCATACTTTTTGAGCATACGCGACTGTTCGGCTTTCACTGCGCCGACGACGGCCCAAGAGGCCCCCAAAACAGCCCCAGGACGGCCCAAGAGGCTCCCAAAAGGCCCCCAAAACGGCCCGAGAGGGCCCCAAGACGGCCCAAGGGGCGCCCAAGACGGCCCAAGAGGGCCCCAAGACGGCCCCAAGAGGGGGACCACGAACTGACAAGTCTAGCTTTTCGCTCCAAGACGCTCCCAGGAGGCTCCCAAGAGGCCCCCAAGATGCCCCCCCCCCAAGAGGCCCCCCAAGAGGCCCCGGGAGGCCAACATCATTGATTTCCACTAGGAAAACGTACATGTTTAGCATACACGGTTTTTCCGCTTTCACCCAAGACGGCCCAAGAGGCTCCCAAGAGGCCCCCAAAACGCCCCAAGACGGCCCAAGAGGCGCTCAAGACTGTCAAAGAGAGCCCCAAGACGGCCACAAGAGGGGGACCACGAACCGAAAAGTTTAGCCTTTCGCCCCAAGACGCTCCCAGGAGGCCCCAAGAGCCCCCCCAAGAAGCCCCAAGAGGCGCCCCAAGAGGCCACCAGGAGGCCAAAATCATTGATTCCCTTAGGACAACGTGCATTTTTAGCAGATTCGACTTTTCGCATTTCACGGTGTTGAAGACGGCCCAAGAGGCCCCCAAGACCGCCCCAAGACGGCCCAAGAGGCTCCCAAGAGGCCCCAAGAGGGCCCCAAGACGGCCCCAAGAGGGGGACCACGAACCGAAAAGTTTAGCTTGTCGCCCGAAGACGCTCCCAGGAGGCCCCAACAGCCCCCCAAGGAGCCCAAAGAGGCCCCCAAGAGGCCCCCAAAAGGGCTTCCGTAGCCATTTTGGCTCAAGCATTTCCCTCCCATGTGGCGCGTGGATCGGACATTGGCAATGGTTGCGCCAAAGTGCGTGGCTCTTCTGTCCGTCGTGGGCGTGGTCTTGGCCACTGTTTCCACCTATGCTATCCTGAACGACTGGCGGAGGTTGGCGCACGGAGTCCGCTTGACAGAGCCAGCTCCGACGGAGCAGATCTCAGCGGCATCTACCGCAGTAGCAGGCACGACCGCTGAGCGACTGGCGAGCAGCACCAGCAACACTGTCAATGAGGGGCCCAGCACCACTACCAGCAGCACGACCAGCATCACTACCAGCAGCACCACCAGCAACACTGTCAATGAGGGGCCCAGCACCACTACCAGCAGCACGACCAGCACCAGTGCCATGGCATCCGACCAAGTCGTCGTGAACATCGGATCAAGCTGGGAGAACCACATGTGTGTAAACGCTACATCATCGGTCAGTTGTGACGTTGAGGCTGCCCAGCACGGATTAAGGCTCAACAGAGATTTCTCCGGGTCGACAGACACATTCCATGTGGTGGCGTATGGCAGTCGAGTTTGCGTGAAACGTACCGACGACGCTGTGGGTGGATGGGGTATGAATTTAACGATCGGGTGTACGAGGTCGGCTGCGGCAGTCACCAGCCCGATCACGAATCCCATACCGCGCCGATATGTGCAGGCGTGGCTTGAAGAGATGTATCCTAAACCAGAGCCGCAATTGCTTCACGCGAGGCTATCGTTTCAAGACACGTCGGCTTTTCCGGACAAGCCGTTGGTATCCATAGGCGCTATGTGCGACTGGCTGTTTATAGAGAACATGGCTGGCCCGCGCTTCCCCCTGCAATTCGTGAAGGTCCGCTCGCCCCCAAGGACTGTTTTCTTGGACTTGAGGTTCGACTTGAGAAAGATGATCCGCTTACTCAAGAAAGATGTGTTTCCCTACATCGATAAGCCGGTCGTGGTCCTCACCACGTCGCAAGACAGGACAATTCCACATCAGCGTGATCGCCGATTTGGGAATATCACTCATGAAGCGTTGCAGAGTTTTGCCAGGTTGCTGGATGATCGTCTGATCGAGCGGTGGGTGACAGAGAATTTAGACGATTCTACATTCCACGATAAGCTCGCTGGGATTCCGACTGGATTCTACACGCCCAACTGCGAGATTGCAGGACAAGCTAATCAGGATTGCAGTCAGGAGTGGTGGTCGGTAATCAAGGCTGGATGGCTGGTGCCTCTGTCGCAAAGGCCGCTCACTGTGAGCTGCAATGGCAGGCGTCATGACGAAGCCGCCGCGGGCCAGTTCACCGACAGGGTCAACGCGCTCAACAACTGCAGACCAGGCGGCTCATGGGGAGACTTCTCTGAGTTTCGAGGCGAGATGTTCAGCAATCAGTTTGCTGTTTGGTGGCAGAATCACTCTTTCGTCCTTTGCCCTCACGGCGGTGGCCTTGACCCCAGCCCAAGAGCTTTCATGGCCATCGCCTCTGGCACTATCCCAATCGTGCAGAGTACGCCTGGTCTGGACACGGTCTACTCTCAGCTCCCTGTGGCGTTTGTGCGTGATTGGGAGCCAGCGTCCATCTCCGTCGAGAAGCTGCAGCGCTGGCGGGATGATCTGGCGCCCCAGTATGAAGATCCCGAGCTTGTGGCGAAGGTGATCGCCAGACTCACAATGAAGCATTGGTGGGAGGGGACAGTCAATCGCACAGTCAGGATGACGAACAAGACGAAGAGGAAGACAAATAATAAAAGGAGGAAGGCCGCCGCGCAGACAGCAGTGGGCATCCAAAGGGCTCCCACGCAGGAGGGTGCCGCGCAGACAGCGGTGGGCATCCAGAGGGCTCCCACGCAGCACGAGCTGGGTGCCGCTCAGACAGCAGGGGGCATCCAGAGGGCTCCCACCCAGAAAGAGGGCGACGAGCGAACAGCAGTGGGCAGCGAGCACATCCCTACGCAGGAAGAGAGCGCCGCGGAGGTAGAAGCGGGCATCCAGAGGGCAGCGGGGCAGAAGGCAGGCTCCAGGCGGAGAAAGGGGGGCGGCAAGCAGAGAAGCTCACAGGAGACAACCAGGCCGCGCACAGAGCATGCTGGGAGCGCTGCGCAAGCAGCACCGGGCAGCCCGAGGGTCGCGAGGGAGCTGATCAAGCGAGGCTCCCGGCAGCAGAGGAAAAGTGGCGGCAAGAGCATGGAGGAGATCACCAGGCGGCGGAAAGAAATAAGGGTCGCAAAAAGACGGGCAGATGAGGCGGCTCGCGGGCTCCCCGCCGCGCCCCTCGGCAGCGGGCCGCCCGGGAGACGGCGCTGAGCAGCTACAACGTGCCCGCGGCGAGCGCGAGCCTCGGCGGCCGCCCTCGCGCGGGTGCGCCAGGCGGCCGCGGGGCCTCGGGCGGCTCGGGTGCCAGGGCAGGGTGAGGGCAGGGCTCGTTTCGATTCCCCCGACTCGATGAATGTCGATCGCTGAGGCGGCTTATCGATTCGATTCTGGGCACTCCTGCATGGACGCAGCCCCGCCCGCCCGCCGTTCGTGGCGGGTGCGGACGAGGCCGGGGACGACGAGCTGGCTTGAGCCTCGGAGGCTTGCGCAGATCTCTTGGGTCCGCGCAGGCGCCGCCCCAGGTGAAGTCGAACAGACTGTCCCCATCGCACCTGCGACGAACGCGTGGCTGTTGCACAAGTCTGCCGAGGAGTCTGCAAGTGACGTGGACGAGGAGTGCCACTCAACAGCAGCGGCCCCATCGGCGCCTCTGGGGCCAGGCGCGGCCGCCGGCGCTGCCGCGGGCGGATCGCCGAGCGCCGCGGCCACGGGCGGTGCCGCGCTGGGCGCGGCAGCGGTAGCACGCAGCGGGCGCGGCCGCTGGAAGCTACTGCGGCCCCCTCCCCGCGGCGCCACTCCGCGAGCCGCGCCGCCGCCGCCGCGGCGGGGAGGGGGCCTTGCCCGCGGTGGGCCGAGCGGGCGCCGAAGGCTCCAGCAGCGAGAGCCGAGGCACGCCGTGACGGGCGCGCCGCCCGAGCAGCGCGCGCCCTCGCCCCCGCCGCCGCGGAGTTGCCGGATGTGGCGCGCTCTGCCGGAGGGGTCCGCCGACGCTCTTTCCGTTACCTGGGCCGGCACAGAAACGGAAAGAGCGCTTCAGAAGCAGAAGCCGAAATTACTCACACCACCGTTCGTACTGGGAGCCTTGGCGTTGCGAGCTTGTTACGTCACCCCTCGCTCTTGGGAGCGTTGGTGTTCAGAGATTGTTGCGTTGCCGCCCGTTCCTGAGCCTTGGCTGGGCCTTGTTGTCAGGAACTTGTTACGTCACCGCTCTCTGCTGGGAGCCTTGGTCTTATCAGCTTGTTTACGTCACCGTTCGCTCTTGGGAGCCTTGGTGTGAAGAGCTTTTTGTATTACCGATCGCTCTGTATTTGGCGTCTCTGGGCCTTCTTGGGAGTCCTATTGGTGCCCTTTTGGAGCCCTTTTGGGGGCCTCTTTTTGCGACTCAACTGCTCACGTGTGGTCAACTTCGAACCTCCACCACCAAATGACGGCGTCCTCCGTCGGCTCGTGGGATCAGCCTGGGCGGCGCCGCCCTCCGAGGTACGAGTGATGACGTTGTGTTTGGGCGAAGCCCTCTAGGGAGGGGTCCAGGGGAGGGGGGAGGGTTGGAAAGATAGGTGTTAATGGCCGTTTTCGGGTTTTCCCTTAGGTTTTTGCATGTTTTTCGGGCTCCCCCCCAAGACGGCCCAAGAACGCTCCAAGAGAGCCCAAGACCCAAGACCGCCCAAGACGGCCCAAGAGGCCCCCAAGAGGCGCCCAAGGGGCGTCCCAAGAGGGCTCCAAGAGGCCAGAATCATTGATTTTCTATAGGGGAACGTACATTTTTAGCATATACGGTTTTTCGGCTTTCACGGCGTTGACGACGGCCCAAGAGGCCCTCAAGACCTCCGCAAGACGGCCCAAGAGGCTCCCAAGAGGCCCCCAAAACGGCTCAAGAGGGCCCCAAGACGGCCCAAGAGGCGCCCAAGACGACCCAAGAGAGCCCCAAAACGCTCCCAGGAGGCCCAAGAGCACCCCAAGAAGCCCCAAGAGGCGTCCCAAGAGGCCACCAGGAAGGCAAAATCGTTGATTTTCGATTGGGAAACGTACATGTTTAGCATGCACGGCTTTTCGGCTTTCACGGCGTCGAAGACGGTCTTAGAGGCCCCCAAGACCGCTCCAAACACGGCCCAAGAGGCTCCCAAGAGACCCCCAAAACGGCCCAAGAGGGCGCCAGGACGGCCCAAGGGCCGCCCAAGACGGCCCAAGAGGGCCCCAAGACTTCCCCAAGAGGGGGACCACGAACCGAAAAGTTTAGCTTTTCGCCCGAAGACGCTCCCAGGAGGCCCCAACAGCCCCCCAAGAAGCTCCAGAGGCCCCCAACAAGCCCCCAAAAGGGATCCAAAAGGGCCGCAATAGGAGCCCCAAGAAGGCCCAGAGACGCCAAATAAAGAAGGATCGGTAGCGCAAAAAGCTCTTCACACCAAGGCTCCCAAGAGCGAACTGTTGAGTAATTTCGGCGTCTGTTTCTGAAGCGTTATTTCCGTTTCTGTGCCGGGCCAGGTAACGGAAAGAGCGAGGTATGAGTGATGACGTTTTGGTGTGGGCGAAGCCCTTCAGGGGGGGGTCCAGGGGGGGGGGCGAGGGCCGGGCGCAAAAGTCTAATGGCCGTGTTGGGCGGTTTCCCTAAGGTTTTTGCATGTTTTTCTGGTTTCCCCCCCAAGACGGCTCAAGAGGCCCCCAAGAGGCGCCCAAGGGGCGTCTCAAGAGGGCCCCAAGAGGCCAAACTCATTGATTTTCCTTGTGGACAAATAATGTTTTTTTAGCATGTACGGTTTTTCTGCTTTCACGGCGTTGACGACGGCCTAAGAGGCCCCCAAGACCGCCCCAAGACGGCCCAAGAGGCTCCCAATAGGTCCCCAAAACGGCCCAAGAGGGCCCCAAGACGGCCCAAGAGGCGCCCAAGACGGGCCAACAGGGCCCCAAGACGGCCCCAAGAGGGGGACCACGAACCGACAAGTCTAGCCTTTCGCCCCAAAACGCTCCCAGGAGGCACCAAGAGCCCCCCAAGAAGCCCCGAGAGGCCCCCAAGAAGCGTCCCAAGAGGACACCATGAGGCCAAACAATTCATTGATTTCCGATGGGAAAAAGGTGCATTTTTAGCATACACTGCTTTTCGGTTTTCACGGCGTTGAAGACGGTCCACGAGGCCCCAAAGTCCGCCCCAAGACGGCCCAAGAGGCTCCCAATAGGTCCCCAAAACGGCCCAAGAGGGCCCCAAGACGGCCCAAGAGGCGCCCAAGAAGACGGGCCAACAGGGCCCCAAGACGGCCCCAAGAGGGGGACCACGAACCGAAAAGTCAAGCCTTCCGCCCCAAGAAGCTCACAGGAGGCCCCCAGAGCCCCCCAAGAAGCCCCAAGAGGCCCCCAAGAGGTTCCCAAGAGGCCTCCAAAAGGGCCCGAAAAGGGCCCCAATAGGATTCCCAAGAAGGCCCAGAGACGCCAAATACAGAGCGATCGGTGATGCAAAAAGCTCTTCACACCAAGGCTCCCAAGAGCGAACGGTGACGTAAACAAGCTGATAAGACCAAGGCTCCCAGCAGAGAGCACGTACGCAACAAGTTCCTGACACCAAGGCCCAGCCAAGGCTCAGGAACGGGCGGCAACGCTCCCAAGAGCGAGGGGTGACGTAACAAGCTCTCAACGCCAAGGCTCCCAGCACGAACGGTGCTGCGAGAAATTTCGGTTCCTGTTTCTGCAGCGCTCTTTCCGTTTCTGTGCCGGGCCAGGTAACGGAAAGAGCGAGGTACGAGTGATGACGTTCCGGTGTGGGCGAAGCCCTAAACGTAGGGGTTCCAGGGGAGGGGGGGAGGGCGGGGGAATGAGTGTTAATGGCCGCTTTGGGCAGTTTTCTTTCGGGTTTTTGTATGTTTTTTCGGGTTGTCCCCTTCTCCGTCCCAGAAGAGCCCAAGACCGCCCAAGACAGCCCCAAAACGTCCCAAGAGGCCTCCCAGACGCCCCAAGAGGCGCCCAAGAGGCGTCCCAAGAGGGCCCCAAGAGGCCCAAATCGTTGATTTTCCTTAGGAAAACGTGCATTTTTAGCATATACGGCTTTCCGGCTTTCACGGCGTTGACGACGGCCCCAGAGGCCCCAAAGACCGCCCCAAGACGGCCCAAGAGGCTCCCAAGAAGCCCCCCGAACGGCCCAAGAGGGCGCCAGGACGGCCCAAGGGGCGCCCCAGACGGGCCAAGAGGGCCCCAAGACTTCCCCAAGAGGGGGACCACGAACCGAAAAGTCTAGCCTTTCGCCTCAAGATGCCCCCAGGAGGCCCCAAGAGCACCCCAAGAAGCCCCAAGAGGCCCCGAAGAGGCGTCCCAAGAGGCCACCAGGAGCCCAAAATCATTGATTTTCGACGGGAAAAGGTACAGTTTTAGCATACATTGTTTTTCGTTTTTCACGGCGTTGAAGACGGCCCCAGAGGCCCAAAAGATCGCCTCAAGATGGCCCAAGAGGCTCCCAAGAGGCCCCCGGAACGGCCCAAAAAGGCGCCAGGACGGCCCAAGGGGCGCCCAAGACGGGCCAAGAGGGCCCCAAGACGGCCCCAAGAGGGGACCACGAACCGAAAAGTGCCTTCCGCCCCAAGACGCTCCCAGGAGGCCCCGGAGCCCCCCAAGAAGCCCCAAAGAGGCCCCCAAGAGGCCCCCAAGAGGTCCCAAGAGGCGTCCAAAAGGGCCCGAAAAGGGCCCCAATAGGACTCCCAAGAAGGCCTAGAGACGCCAAATTACCCTGGCGACGTACCCAACCCCTGCGCAATGCGGGGCATGAGTAGCTTGGGAGACGTTATACGGAGGTGATGACATGACATGGGCGCATATACTTCTGCGAGCGGCATTCGTGAGGCTCGCAGCCCCCCAAGGACTGCGATGTCCCGCTCAGATCTGCCTGGTGCCCCGCTCCGCTGGACCCACCAGCAGCCCTCGAAAATGGCAACCAATTCGCAGATCGCAGCCCCCCAGGGACGGCGAGGTCCCGCTCAGATCCTCGTGGTGCCTGACCCCGCAGGACCCACCAGCAGCCTTCGAAAGTGGCGACAGTTTCGCAGATCGCAGCCCCCCAGGGACGGCGAGGTCCCGCTCAGATCTGCGCGGTGCCTCACTCCGCAGGACCCACCAGCAGCCCTCGAAAGTGGCGACAGTTTCGCAGAAGTCCCGCAACCCTCGAAAGTGGCGACGGTTTTGCAGATCGCAGCCCCATCAGGGACGGCAAGGTCCCGCTCAGGTCCGCGCAGTGCTTCACTCCGCTGGACCACCAGCAGCCCTCGAAGCTGGCGACGGTGTCGCAGATCGCAGCCCCCCAGGGACGGCGAAGTCCCGCTCAGGTCCGCGCGGTGCCTCAGTCCGCAGGACCCACCAGCAGCCCTCGAAGGTGGCGACGGTTTCGCAGATCGCAGCCCCCCAGGGACGGCGAGGTCGCGCTCAGGTCCGCGCAGTGCTTCACTCCGCAGGACCCACCTGCAGCCCTCGAAAGTGGCGACGGTTTCGCAGATCGCAGCCCCCCAGGGACGGCGAGGTCCCGCTCAGGTCCGCGCAGTGCCTCACTCCGCTAGACCCACCAGCAGCCCTCGAAAGTGGCGACGGTTTCGCAGATCGCAGCCCCCCAGGGACGGCGAGGTCCCGCTCAGGTCCGCGCAGTGCCTCACTCCGCTAGACCCACCAGCAGCCCTCGAAAGTGGCGACAGTTTCGCAGGTCGCAGCCCCCCTGAGACGGCGAGGTCCCGCTCAGGTCCGCGCGGTGCCACATTTTGCAGGACCCACCAGCAGCCCTCGAAAGTGGCGACGGTTTCGCAGATCGCAGCCCCCCAGGGACGACGAGGTCCCGCTCAGGTCTGCGCGGTGCCTCACTCCGCTGGACCACCAGCAGCCCTCGAAAGTGGCGACGGTTTCGCAGATCGCAGCCCCCCAGGGACGGCGAGGTCTCTCTCAGGTCCGCGCGGTGCCTCAGCCCGCTGGACCGCGCGGTGCCTCACTCCGCTGGACCCACCAGCAGCCTTCGAAAACGACGACAATTTCGCAGATCGCAGCCCCCAGGGACAGGGAGGTCTCGCTCAGGTCCGCGCGGTGCCTCAGCCCGCTGGACCCACCAGCAGCCCTCGAGTGGCGACAGCTTCGCAGATCGCCGCCCCCCAGGGACGGCGAGGTCTCGCTCAGGTCAGCGCGGTGCCTCATTCCGCTGGACCCACCAGCAGCCCTCGAAAGTGGCGACGGTTTCGCAGATCGCAGCCCCCCTAAGGACGGCGAGGTCTCGCTCAGGTCCGCGCAGTGCTTCACTCCGCAGGACCCACCAGCAGCCCTCGAAAACGACGACAATTTCGCAGACCACAGCCCCTCAGGGACTGCGAGGTCTCGCGTAGGCCCGCGCGGTGCCTCACTCCGCTGGACCCACCAGTAGCCTTCGAAAACGACGACAATTTCGCAGATCGCAGCCCCCCAGGCAAGGCGAGGTCTCGCTTAGGCCCGCGCGGTGCCTCAGTCCGCTGGACCCACCAGCAGCCCTCGAAAGTGACGACAATTTCGCAGATCGCAGCCCCCCAGGGACAGCGAGGTCTCGCTCAGGTCCGCGCGGTGCCTCAGTCCGCTGGACCCACCAGCAGCCCTCGAAAGTGGCGACAGTTTCGCAGATCGCCGCCCCCCAGGGACGGCGAGGTCTCGCTCAGGTCCGCGCGGTGCCTCAGTCCGCTGGACCCACCAGCAGCCCTCGAAAGTGGCGACGGTTTCGCAGATCGCCGCCCCCCAGGGACGGCGAGGTCTCGCTCAGGTCCGCGCGGTGCCTCACTCCGCAGGACCCACCTGCAGCCCTCGAAAGTGGCGACAGTTTCGCAGATCGCAGCCCCCATCGTCGGCGAAGAGAGGGCAGGAGGAGGCGGGAGGCGGGAGGAGGAGGAGGGACGCGACCACAGTGCTCTATTCAAAACGAAGACCCAACCAAGGAGGGTTGGGAATAAAGAGCGATCGGTAACGCAAAAAGCCCTTCACACCAAGGCTCCCAAGAGCGAACGGTGACGTAAACAAGCTGATAAGACCAAGGCTCCCAGCAGAGAGCACGTACGTAACAAGTTCCTGACACCAAGGCCCAGCCAAGGCTCAGGAACGGGCGGCAACGCAACAATCTCTGAACACCAACGCTCCCAAGAGCGAGGGGTGATGTAACAAGCTCTCAACGCAAAGGCTCCCCGTACGAACGGTGGTGTGAGTAGTTTCGGCTTCTGTTTCTGAAGCGCTCTTTCCGTTTCTGTGCCTGGCCAGGTCTATTGGCGCGAGTCCCCTTTCGTGTGCGAGCGAGGCATCTCCCGCTAAGCAGTCGGCCGTCACCCATGGTAAAGCCTTCGGTGTCGTTCAGGGTCCACACCATCAAGGCGAACTCTTGGGGTACTATGAAATCGTTGCTTGCTGGCTCACTCGCCCACGTCGTGCTCGCTCAAAAGCGTCGGCTGATCACGAAAGATGAGATCGACCAGGCGAGCTTCCTGTGTACTCGCCGTGGCTGGAAATCGATATGGGCCCCGCCAAATCCGACTGTTGCCCGAGGCTCTAGTGGAGGGCTTGCCATACTGATCAGGTCCTGGGCGGCATGCAACACTGTTGACCAAACGATGGCGTATCCAGACAGATGCGTGATGTGTGAGGCGCAGATGTCAGGCGCGTATCCGATCGTTGTTGCGCCCGCCTATTGTGTTCACCCTGCCGGTCTTGATGACGAGCAGATTAGGACCCTTGCGCGTCTCGGGGGGCAGCCCCCGTCTGGAAGGCAGCCTTGGTTGAGAGGTGCCGATTTCAATTGCGAGCCTGGTGAGCTCGAGCATCACAGCATAGCCGTCCTTTGATCTGACGACTCTCCCCTCTTCACCTGCACCCGTTGCACATGCTACAGTAGCGGTACGGCGGTCAGGTCAGGGCCCTCGGCAGGAAGTGTGCCCCCCCCCCCCTCAGCCGAGCTGCTAGATGCGGATGGGGTTATCTCTGCGAGGGCCTGCATCCAGATCCCAAGCAGCGCAATGTTGCTGCCGAGGTGGGCACAGAGGAGAGATTGGTCGAGCGATTGACTTCTGTCTCGGCCGCTGCTGCCGACGAGTTGCCCGTCAGTTCTTCGGCACCCCCGCCTCATGTTCACGTGGTGGAAGAGGGCCCCCCAGGTGCCAGTCGTCGGCCGAGGGCCAGACGAGGTGGACCCCACATGCGCTGCCCAGCTTGGGGGTTGGTGTGTGCTGTGTGTGTTGCTTGCTGTGTGGTGTGTGTTGTGTGGTGTGTGTTGTGTGTTGTGTGTGTTGTGCGTTGTGTATGTGCGTTGTGTGGTGTGTGTTGTGTGTTGTGTTTCTTGTGTGGTGTGCGGTGTGTGTGTGTTATGTGTTGTGTGTGATGTGTGTTGTGCGTTGTGTGTTGTGTGTCGTGTGTCGTGTGGTGTGTGGTGTGTGGTGTGTGTTGTGTGTTGTGTGTGGTGTGTGGTGTGTGGCGTGTGGTGTGTGGTGTGTGTTGTCTGTCGTGCGTGCTGTGTGTGCTGTGTGTGTGGTGTGTGTGGTGTGTGTTGTGTGTTGTGCGTTGCGTCTTGTATGTCGTGTGTTGTGTGTGTTGTGTGTGGTGTGTGTGATGTGTGTGCTGTGTGTGCTGTGTGTTGTGGTGTGTGGTGTGTGTGTGTTGTGTGTGTGTTGTGTGTTTATGTGTTGTGTGTGTGGTTGTTTGTGTTTGTGTGTGTTTGGGTGTTGGAGTGGGTGTTTTGTTTGTGCGTGTCTGATGCCTTCTCGCGTTTGTGGAGGACGGCGCTCCACTCGTGCCTGCCGTCGGAGAAGGATCTGACGATTCGGGTTAGCCAGACCTTCCTGCGGCCACGGGGACGGTCTCGTTGTGATCGCACTCTTCTTTCAGGGATGCTGCCCTCCCCTCCATTGCAGCATTCGTCCAGCCCCGCGCTGCGAGGCTGTCAGAAGGCGAGCTGGGCGTGGAGCTAGCAAAACGGAGTCATTCTCCTCCTCCTCCTGCTCCTCCTCCTGCTCCCCTCCTCTTCTTGCTCCTCCATTCCCGTTCCTTATGAACAGGCCCCTCCCCGTCACACCCCGAGGCCAATCGGAAGGGCGGGCCGCGCGTTTCGCTTGAGACTTCCTTACCAAGTGTGGCCTTGAAGCTTAGAAGCTGACAACAGCTTCACTGATCGAAGGCGGGTCGTTTTCAAAACGTAGTTTTCGCTTTAGCACCGCGCACACTTGTTCACAAAAGCTGTGCAAGATGTTCACGGATTGAGGGCGGTTCGTTTTCAAAGTGAAGTTCTCGTTTTACCACCGTGCACATGCGTGCAAAGTGATGATTGTCAGGCCGCAACAGAAACGTTGATTCGTTGTGTTGAAAGCCCAGGAACGGTGTCCTGGCACGGTTCAGGATCGTGAAGACTCAGCAGACAGGTTGACTCGTTGCGTCGAAGTCTTGAGAATGGTGTGTTGGCACGCTTCAGGATTTTCACGAGATTGTCTCCCAACGGGGCATTGCCTTCAGTGAAAATGAATCCTTGCAGGAGCCTGTGAAGAGGGATCTTGGAGGGAGAGTGTCTTCCGACATCGTTGATGTGTCTTCGGTTTGCACTGGTCCTCCTCTTCCTCCTCCTCCTCCTCCTTCACCTCGTGTTCCTCCTCCTCCTCCTCCTCCTCCTCCTCCTCCTCCCAACTCCCGACTCCTTCGCCTGCTGATCCTTCATATCGTCCTCCCTCCCCGTCGTTCCGTGTTCACTTCCATTCTCGTCAGCAGCAGCCGAAGTGGGCATTCACCCAAGCCCCTGCGCCCTTCGTCTTGTAGTGCGCCGGGGTCGCTGCTCACCGCTGGGCCATCGCCCCGCCGGAGGGCTGGGCACATATTCAGCTGTTGGGTCATGAAGCTGCGTGACGGCAAGGGGAGACGAGGAGGAGCAGGAGGAGGTGAAAACAGAGGAGCAGGATGCCGAGGCCGAGGCAGCGGCCGCTTCCGCGGCAAGGGGGAGGAGGAGGGCACCAAACATTTCAAGTAATAAGCGGCCGTTTCCTAGCGGCGCCGCGCCTGATTTTTCAGCTGTTTAGATTCGCCCACTGTGAGCAAACCTCGTTTGGGGCCCGTCGCGGCCGGGCGTCACTCGGCGATCGGCGTCACGAGGGCTCCATGCCTTGCTGGTTCAGCGCAAACCATTGGCAGAGCTCCAATGACCTCAACGCTGACCCCAAATATGAAAGCAACAACATCAGCAAAGCAATCCTTCAGCTGCCCGCGGCAAAAAAAACAAAAAAAACGCAATCCTTCAGCTGCCCGCGCCAGCAGAGGTCTCGGGAAACGCAGTCCTTCAGCTGCCCGCGGCGATTTTCCCCGCCGTGCCAGCCCAGCATTCTGCGTGGCGGCTGTTCCAGGGCGGGAGAGCCGTGATGAGGATGAAGCTAACGTGGATGATGATGATGACGATGATGATGATGATGATGATGACGATGATGATGATGATGACGATGACGATGACGATGACGATGACGATGATGATGATGATGATGCTGATGCTGACGATGACGATGACGATGATGATGATGATCATGATGATGATGATGATGACGATGACGATGATGATGATGATGATGATGATGATGATGGTGATGGTGATGGTGATGGTGATGATGGTGATGGTGGTGTCGTCGGTGATGTTGATGGTCGTGATCTTGATCATGATCATGATCATGCTGATGCTGATGCCGACGATAATGGCACTAATGCTGGTGATGATGATGGTGGTGATTATCGTGGTGATGGTGGTGATGTTGAAGATCACAATGATGTCCTTGGTGGTGATGATGTTGATGATGATGGTGGTGGTGATGGTGGTAGTGTTGCTGATGATGTAGACGATGGCGATGGTGATAGTGATGTTGATGGTGATGTTGGTGTTGTTGATGGCCATGCGGATGAATGCGACTGTTGTTCGGGTGATGACGATGATGCTGCTGGTGATGACGATTATGACGAATGTGATGGTGCTACTGATCAAAAGGATGATGAGGAGGAGGAGGTTACTGGTAATGGTAATTGTGATGGGTTTGTTGATGTTGATGTTGATGTTTTGCTGTTGGCGAGGAGAATGACGCTGATGATGGACGGATGAGAATGAGGATGTGGATGATGGTGATGGTGATGTTGGTGTCGAGAATGAGGCGAAGGAACAAGGGCAGAAGGAGGACGATGAGGAAAGCCGTCGCATGTGACTTTTTCCGCCTTTACGATTCGAGGAGTGTTCACGAACTCGTTTGTGTCGTCTTGAGGGCGCCTTGGCTTAAGCCATTTTGGCTCAAGGGCTCAATAGAAAGTCTTGAACCTCAAGCGGGCTGACAGAGAATTTATTTAATCTCCAGTTCACGTGATGTCTCGCGCGCCTGGCACCCCGAGATACAGCAGCCCCGGAGCCGGCATCGGCAAGGGCGAGCACGCAGGGGGCAAGGGCAAGAGCGGAATTTCTTTCCCCCCAGATGTTTAGGCCGCGGCCGCCGCTAGTCTAGGCAAGAGGGGCCCTGACGCCGCAGCCAGCGGCGAACCGCCTCTGGCGAAAGTCCAAGCGTTCGCTGACGAAGGCGACGATGCCGAGGCGAAGGATGACAGCGACATGGCGAGGAAAAAGGAGGAAAGTTTGGAGAACGACGGCGAGAAGGGGGACATCAAGGGGATGATAAGGGACATGGAGGAAATGAAGACGGATGAAGCCAGGTCGGCAAAAGGCTGTGGAGGCAAAGATTGCCGTCTGCGTAGTCGAGTCAGACGTGGCCCAGCTGAAGGAGACGTCCATCACCAACGAGACCTTGGAGGAGACAATCCGCACGATGGGCAAGATCACGACGGAGGGGGAGGTGACGAAGATTTTCGAGGAGTCTCCCTGAAAGATGAACTTGGGCATCGCTGGAGGCACCCCTTCGTCGACAGCCTGTTTGTCTACAGTGTTCGTAGTTTGGGGTCTTCCGGGCTTCTCTTTTAAAGGCTTCCGCCGAATGGCTACACAAACTTGCTCGGCCGGTTGATGTTTACAGGAAGGACGAGGAAGGGGGGAGTTCGGGGGCTCGGTTTTCGCCAAGTTCGCAAATGAGGTCGACGCGCCGCCCATGGCGCTGAACATTTTGAGGGAGAAACTGACGACCGAAAACGCGGGGAAGGAGGCGATGAACAGGATCTGGTGCGATGTGGAGGCGCCCACCGAGTCAAGGGCTTGAGGAACTTTCGCAACCAGCTGATCGATAGGAAGTTATGCCGGGAGTGCGTCAAGATTGACCGGGATGCTGGCGCACTGGAGGTCCAGGGAGACGTGGTGGCCCAGGTGAAAGTCGCCAGCGACGCGCTGAACATCATATGGATGAAGGAGGATTGGAAGATTTGGGACGAACTGCAGAAACCTTCGGCATTGGAGCCTCTTGATCGCACGTCCACGGGCTTACCAAAAGGCGGGAGAGTACGTCCAAAGGGGTAGGCAAGGGCCTGCCACTGACGGGGCCCAGGATGCAAGGACTCAGCTTCACCCCACACGGACAGAAGCTTCACTCTGGGACCTAGGAAACACAGGCCCAGGCCTTCAGGTGAGCCGTTTTGACAGACAGCATTGACTGCGGCTCCTGCAACGTCAAGGGGCTCACGGGCCTGGCGTTTATCTAATGAATGCGGCGCGTTCACGAGCACCGCATCGACTCGCCATGCATGCAAGAGACTTGAGTGGCGCAAAGCAGCGCGAGGGTCGAGGACGATCACATGATTATTCTTTCTGGGAGCGATGCCGGCGCGAGGTCACGGTCGGGCGCGGGGCCCATCATTTCCCCGCGTTGCAGTTGCAGGAATTCTGTAACATCGTTCGAACAAA